TCTAAGGTGCAAAATATCTTATTATTAACTCCAAAACTTATTTGCCTTCAGCCCAGTCAAAACGGTGTGTATAGAGGTTTGTACATACATCATTACCAGTGGCCTAACGAGGTCTGGTGTCTCCAGTGTGGCACTTAATGGTGTCAGTCCCGGGGACAATTTTCGATTTGCCCCCCCCCCCCCTTCAAAATTTCGATTTGCAGCCCCCCCCCCCCCCCCCCCCCCTTCAAACTTTCTATTTGCACCTCTTAAAACACTATTTAACACTGGAATTAATCACATAATTAAGTGAAATTATCATTTTTGCTATATATATTTTGCTATTTTTTGCCTTGGTGTCACCCGGTGCGGTCCGCATCCCCCGCCCCCCCCCCCCCCTCGCTGCGCCTCTGATTACTACTAATAACTTTCAGACTAAAGCGGAGTGCGAAGAAATCTGCAAAAACTGAACAGTTCACAGCCAGACTGTGTATTGAACATCCTACTGGTAACTGGAAATCTTTGACAAATAAATCAGTTGAGAGAAAAAAATAACCTTGTGTTTAAACTTTTCACATTTTTATACTACACGTAAATATCATGACACGGTATACCGGCTACGGAGTTATACTCCCATAGGTCAAGCAGGCCTTGACGTAGTTAACTCGGGCTTACTGGCTCTGAAGACGCTGTTTTGATCACTACGTGTTGGTAACGTTTCACCCCACTATGCGCTGTACACCGTACCCGACTACCTGTTACCCTGCTTGAACCTGGGTTGTTTTTTTTTTGGACCTAAAAACTGGTTGCCCTCACGTACAAACCCGTAATTTTTTTCAATTTAATCTAATTTAATTTAATTTACAACAGAACCCACGGAAGCCGTTTTTCACTTTGGCCGTTTTAACAAAAATCGTAATAATAGCATTTGAAAAAAAAAAAAACCAATCGAGTAGAAAGACAGAGCAGCTACATAGCACTCACAAATTTGGAACAAAGAAATAATATTACATAGCTGGAATACAAAATAAGACGTGAAGGCGCACGGCGGGGAAGTAGCTGACAGAGGCATTAGGGACTGCAAGGAAAATTACGGGAGACCAACAACAGTGGTGGGAGCTTTAATAAAGGGCAGAGAGAGCAACCGCTTGCTAAAGCTAAACCTTTGAGTAACGAGCTTTCAAAGTTAATTAGCATTTGGTGTTGCATCCCGACCGGTGTTAATACAATACATTTTAACGTAATATTATTAATAAGCGGCATGGCCTAGCGCTAGAGAGCTTGACTGCTAACCGAAAAGTCTCGAGTTTTAATCCGGCTTCAAATCAATAGAGCATCGCTGAGTCCACCCAGCTTTGATGAGTACCTCACTCACGTTAGAAAAACAAAAGAGGCTGGGCATAGTACTGACGACATTATCCTCTATTTAGGCCCAGGTCATTTAAAACCGACGAACTCTACTTCACCTGCACAATTTGTCTTGGGCACAAACTGGAAAAACTATAATAATGTAGAATTATTGTATTGACCTTTGTAAAACTCGTGTGCTAAACACATCATAAGCCATTTTTATGTAATTGAAAAGTCGTCGAGTTTGACAAGAGAGAATAACCTAAATAGTATTGTTAATGTGGTAGATAATCTTATTGATCGATCATGTCCAGCTTACTCGTTTGTTTACCCTACTGTCAATGTGCTCTGAGAAGTTGTTTGGCTAACTTCACCACCAACACCAGCTTTGCCAACACCCTTTGAAAAATGTCCCTTTAAATTATAATATACACTATTGCATTGTTAAAGTAAAATAAATTTCTGCTTAGGTTTGTGATAAATAAATTGCATTGATTTGATCAGTATTTTGTGAAGAGTTGTATTGTGGAGAGAGTAAAGGCGTAGTTACGAGGAGGGTGTAAGTACATGTGTCCCGGGGCGCCGGCCCTACGGGCGCCAAAAGGGGTTGAAAAAAAATGGTAACGCTCATTTTAGCTGCAGTTTTGAATTAAAAATATAAAAAATACATTAAGGGGGGGGGGGGGCAAATTGAAAGTGTATCCGCGTGCGCCTGGAGGAGTCGCTACGACACTGGGAGAGAGTCTGTAGAGATGACCAAAGTGTAATATTGAGAATGCCCATCACATTCATTGAGATGACCAGGTTATCATCAAGAAATGGATGACCACACCCATGGCTATCCAAACACAGTACGTAACTTGTATGAGAACTGCTAATCTAAAGTGTAATTGACTAACGCCCGTTAATTTTTGTAATTCTAATATATATATGGCCTTTGTGTGCATTTCTCTCTCTCTCTCTCTCTCCGCAACATTTTTAGTATGTATGTTCAGCGATATATGTAGAACTAAAAGATACGGACTTTTGTTGAAATAATATGTTGGATGTTTTAAATGTATAAACTAAACTTTATTTAAAGAAGTTAAATAAAAATAAAGGAATATTCGAATGTAGAAACACAAATTTAACTATGCAGCCGGAAATGGTTTATTGTTGTGAGAATAACGCAAAAAACAATGTCGTCACAAGTCACATGCTTAAACTACGGAAACTACACAAAATTTAAGAATATGAAGAAATGAACTACTTCATTCAAATTTGAAATAAATCTATAGATCTACTAATCAAGACGTACGCCATGAAATATATACATAAAAAAACATATATACCATTAAACAGCTGGTTTTTAAACGGAACCATTGAAGTCTCTTAATCAGCGTGTGCATTTAATATTGTGATGTCTTGACTAATAATGTCTATAATGTGGATATTTTTTAAAGGGTATTGGTAATGTTATTTTAAATGTGTCGGATTTTTCGCTATTTAGTTAATTATTTGATTTGTCACCAATATAGTTTAATGTGTTGTAAAGCACATTGCGTAGTAGGTTTAATAAAATGCAATCTTTTCTTCATTTCTGTTGTATTGATTTTCTACACCCGCGTCCACTTATGGCATATACTCAATTTAATCGAAAATCAGACTTTTTTTTAGCGCAATTTCCATTCTGGAGAATTGCGTTGATTAACCCGTCATTTCTGGATGTATGAATGTATGAATGAATGGATGGATGGATGAATGGATGGATGTGTGTCCGCAGCTTTAAGTCGTATCTCCTCCTCAACGAAGCAATATCGATGACTAGTTCCAAAAGCAATTATGTTAAGCAAGTTACGAGGATGAACATAGGCCATAAAATTCCGGGTTTCTTTCATGGATTTCCCGGAAAAGCCAAAAAACCTCGAAAAAATGCAGTTTTTGGCCCATATCTCGGCAACCAGACCACTTAGCGACTTGAAACATGTACCAATCGATTCCTGCCATAATTTAGAACAATATTGCCGAAGAAAGTTTTCAAAAATATCCTTTCGTTTGGTCACAAAAAATTTTTTGAATTAATTAAAATTTGGACCGAATTAGTAGGCATATTTATCCAACCACAGCACACGCGTCATCACGTTCAATAGCTGCGCCATCACGTTCAATGGCTGCGTCTCACGTTCAGTAGGCGCGCAATGGTTTTTAGTCATGTAACTCTATTGTAAATAAAACATGTAAAATACTGAAATTTTTTTTAAGCGCAATTTCCATTCTGGAGAATTGCGTTTATTAACTCGTCATTTCTGGGAATGGATGGATGAATGAATGAATGTATGGATGTATGAATGTGTGTCCGGGCTTTAAGTCGTATCTCCTCCTCAACGAAGCAATATCGATGACTAGTTACAAATCAATTATGTTAAGCAAGCTACGAGGATGAACATAGGCCATAAAAATTCCGGGTTTCTTACATGGATTTCCAGAAAAAGCCAAAAAACCTCGAAAAAAATGCAGTTTTTGGCCCATATCTCGGCAACCAGACCACTTAGCGACTTGAAACATGTACCAATCGATTCCTGCCATAATTTAGAACAATATTGCCGAAGAAAGTTTTCAAAAATATCCTTTCGTTCGGTCACAAAAAATTTTTTGAATTAATTAAAATTTGGACCGAATTAGTAGGCATGTTTTTCCAACCACACCACACGCGTCATCACGTTCAATAGCTGCGCCATCACGTTCAATGGCTGCGACATCACGTTCGGTAGCTAGGCGCGCAATAGTTTTTAGTCATGTTACTCTATTGTAAATAAAACATGTAAAATACTGAAAAAAAAATTAATAAAAACGTTTTAATAACTAACCAATGGTTTTACTAACCCTGCTCTTGATTTACGCTACGACAGAGCTATTTTTAGATAACATAAGGAAATTGCGCTAAAATTGTCACTAGACTTTTTTTTAATTACTTGTTTTTAATAAAAAACGTTTTAATAACTAACCAATGGTTTTACTAACCCTGTTCTTGATTTACGCTACGACAGAGCTATTTTTAGATAACATAAGGAAATTGCGCTTAAATGTCACTAGACGTTTTAATTAACTTGTTTGACAATAGAGTAAAATGGGTTCAGGAATGATTCTGGAAATAAATTAGAATTATTAATCAGACATGGAGTAGCCAGGTAACATATGGATTTATCATCAAGCAATGTTAGATAGTTTGGTTTACTCACTCTGTATTAAACTTCTGTTAACTTTTAAACATTTATCCACGGCGTACAACTCAAAGTTTTGAGATCACATTGATTCTTGTACTTATGCTTTTCGTAATGAGTCACAACACAATAGTTTTGTTATTACAGCTTTTATATTACTTCAGAGCACAATAATTCAGGTATTTACCTCTTTCAAAATATATCAGAACATAATAATTTTGTTATTATAATTTTCATATTACTTTAGATCACTATAATTTATGTTATGACTTTAAATATATATATTAATATAACATATTTTTGTTATTATAACTTTGATATTACTTCAGAGCTTTTATAATTTATGTACTTTCATAATCTGCCAGGGGTCAGAACAATTTTGTTGTAATGCCTGCTATAATGGGTCTTCTAAGAAGTCCCCCCCCCACCCCCTGATAAGGATTAACGATTTCTATTCACGCCTCTGGCTAGGCGATACTAAGCTGATTAATGGTATATCAACTCTTGAGTTAAGTCAGGAGACTCATCAATTACCGATCCATACATTACAATACCGAGTCTAGCCAAGACGTCCAACAGTTGCCAGATAAAATGTTTTCCAAGTTGTTGGTGCTCTGTGTGATGCCACAGCTTGTGGATCTCTGGAAGGAAAAGGATAGTAAGACTAAAGATTTTATTTGAATCAAGTATACGTCTTTAGCGTTGTCGGGTCGGTAAAGCTCGTGGTTGTAAAACCGAACAGTCCCGAGTTGAAATCCCCGGCACATGAGGCTCGATAGCACCCCATCTAAGAGAGACAACTCCAAGATTACAAGTTTGTTCTTGTTTGGAGAAAGGCTAAGGAAGAATTGACATTCAAAAGCAGGCTGTTATCTGAGTCAATGGCCTACCAATAATACTTGAAAAATCTCTTTCAACATTACAATTAAGAACGAAGAAGGATAAGAACCAAATATTTATTTGATGAATGGTTAAAGTGATAATCTGATTTATTTATTTGCATATCATTGTTTATATTTTGAAATTGTTTATACCTTGAAATGCAACGTTAAGTCTATGAATAATATTGAGAGATGTATTTAGATATATCTAGTACAGGGCAATTGAGCCTTGGGATGCAAATGATAAAGAAGAAGTTAGGGAGCATCTAAGTAACAATAGAAATTTCTTAAAGCATTGGGACAGTTATGATGTTGACGGAGAAAGACAAAATGAAATGCTTAGATGAGCAATGCATAGAGAGGTAGAAGATGCCTTTGAAGTAGATGGCCAAACTGAAAAACATCATACTACTGCAGCATCACAGCAAGTTAACGAAAGCGTAACAGAAACACTATAGAGGCCGAAGCCATGGAGACAATAGCGATCAGAAATTCCAAGGTAACGGGGTCTCAAAAAGATGGGAATCAAGAAAATTTGGAGGCTGTCGACGAAACAATAAATGATATTCTTCAAGATAACACTAGTTCAGAAAACATAACGAAACCGCTAAAGGAAATTAAAAGCTCACAAAGTATATCAGCAGCAAAGGTATCAGGTCAACTGTCATATAGTTAAGCAATCAGTTCAAGTAAAAATCAATTACCTACAGTAAAGCCACCTCAAAGGGTCGTGACCAGGGCCCAACGGGATAGCAAACCAGCGGCTGGAAAGTTTGGCGTTAAAAGACCACCACCAGAAACAGTCCTCCAGAAACAGATGTTCGAAAGAAAACCCCAAATAATTCATGCTAACTCTGGCAACATTGAACATCAGGGGGGGCTAGGGACAAACACATTATATAAACAACATAATAAATAAACACAATATTGACATCCTACTTTTACGGGAAACTAACATTTGAACTACAGAAGAAGCAAATTACCTAGATGCATAATTAATATCGACAGTCTCAAGCTAAACATCACTCGATCAGCCCTGAAGTAAACTAACATTAGAACAGTGTTCTGTTTCCCAGGTTTTTAAAAGTGCACAACCTGAATGGTATAAAGAGATACACACCTCCCCCCCCCCCCCCCCACACACACACACTTCCCCCCACTCAACCGGACTGGCGGATTTTTCAAGGATAGCAGTGCCCTCTTTGCCAAGGGTCAATTTTATGTCATGGAAAGTTTTGGAATGATAGATCAGTATGTGTACTGCAGAGAAACTTCTCCCACGGTCGTTTCTATTTCTGTCCATGTGTGGCTACAATGTGAACTTTTGACTCCTCAGCTAAGAACAAAGCACAGTAAACTAAGCAGTCAAGAGAAACCTAGTTTGCACACCTTATTTTAGTCTAGTTCTTATGCCATTTTATTTTCTCCATTTGATTATTATATATGCAATTGATGTTCATGTCTTTGATGCTGTGTAAAATCTATCAAATAAATAATTATTACTGATTTAAATGTTTAAAACAATTGAATTAATAAAAGAAATTTAAAAAAGGAAAAAAAACTAATTGAGGACTGTATAGATATAGATGTTTGAAAGGGAAGAGTGTTTGCTTTTACTTGTCTCATTGTAATAACATAGCTTCTCCGATTGCTTAAAATTTGTATCATTTTAATTCTCTGTAATCCCAAATTCATTTCAGCTCTACTTTTAAAAAAAACAAATTCCCCCTCCCCCCCCCCCTCGTCCCCTCAGCCTACCACGCCGAGAAAAAAAATCCCTTGAATCATCATTTAATTACACATTTGCATTTTCAGTTTCAGGTTGGTTTTTAATTTTTATTTTTTCTTTATATTTAGACGTTTTGTATTAGATCTATGTATAAGTAAACCATCTTAAATGAGTGAAAGCAGGCTACAAGTAAGAAAGAAATATTACTATTGTAAATCTGTATCAGTCCTCACAAGCCGATGATGAAAACTGTAATACTAAAGCGAACACACAACTGACGCTATAAAATACGTGTCTGAGGCAAAAAAAAAAAAAAAAATTAAACTTTGAACATACATTTAAAAAAAAAATAGATATATCTAGTTTAGAATATTGTCTAACATATTGACACCAAAAACTTCAACAATCCCAAGCAAAAGTAAGTACACATACACATGTGCATCAATTTAAGATACACACACATCCATAAATATCATAACACATCTAATACCCTAGCACACACACATTTATCTATAACTAACCGTCCCGGCCAGGCCCTGCACTTCCTTCTGTGAAAACCCTATCCGTATAGGACCGTGACTTATGTGTTTATTAAGCAGCATATTCCCTGCATTACCCGGGTTTAGGATTTTTTTTTTAATTAACCCTACCACAACCAACCAAAACCAAAAGAAAAACAACGCAAACATAACACAAACACAAATTCAAACACAAATACAAACACAAACGAAAACACAAACACCAACAAAAAAGAAAACGGAAACACAAACCCAAATCTAGAAAAACAAACGCGAACCCAACCATAAATGCAAACCCAAAAACAAAGAAAACACAAACACAAACGCAAACAAAAACGGAAGCGAACGCAAACAAAAACGCAAATATCAATAGAAACATAAACGCAAACCTAAACGCAAACAATAACTCAAAATAATAATAAAGTTAATGTGAACATAAACACAAAGAGCTCACAGTCTAGCCCGGGGCGCCAAATTGCATCCTCCTCTGGCGCCGGCGGAAACCGCCTGATTTAACTTAGTAAACTACTCCTTTGCACTCGCTTAAACGAACGCATACGCCATAGCGAACACAGAAATGATCGGCGCTCCTAAAAGCCCTCTGTTGGGTCGCCAGAGGACGCCCTGGAATCGATTTATTAATAACATTTTGTAACGAATATATAGGTTAGGGTAAATTGGCTGATGAAAGTGAAGTCATTATATTACTTTTATTCAACTTTTCGTTACACGTGTTTCCATAACAAACTACCTCTTACCCTTTTGTGTGTTCGCCCTGCACACCTGAACAAGCGAGCACATGAAAAAATGTGATTAGAAATACATCTTTTTATACTTTGACACAACATAAAGCTTGTAGGACTACTATGGTTTAGTTACAATTGTAAATATCATTGTTCATATAGTAACCTAGCACACACATCGATAAATATAACACGTTTAATACCCTTACACATGCACATACATAAAGATCATAACACATATTATACCCCAGATCCTGTGTGCCGACTACCTCCTCGAAAAGGATCATGCCAAGAGAAGTCACTCAGATATTACTATGACTTTAAGGTACATTGGTGTAGAGCATTTCTTTACAGCGGTTGTGATGGCAATGAAAATAATTTCGAATCCAAGATTGCCTGCAAGAGAGTTTGCGAGGAAATTGGTAAATTGTGACTTTTTTTTACTTTCTCGTATATACGAAGTATATAGAAAGTCTTGTAATCGTGCATAACAAAATCGAGATTTTTACAAATCTCGACGTTTTACACCTCACTTATACGGAAAAACATAATTTTGCAATCTTGTCCGTATGTCTGTGTGTCTGTGTGTGTGTGTGTGTATGTGTGTGTGTAAACACGATAACTTGTGTATCCTTACAGCTAGGTTGATGAAATTTCATATATAAGTATTTTATCAAAATCGTAGATCCGTATCAACTATTGAGCGATTTCCGATAATCGGAAGTGGTACTTCTTCTACTTTGAATTTTTAAAAAGCCTATAACTTGAGTACTATTTCAGATAGATAAATGAAATTTCACATGTAATTAAAAGATCTAATTCTCTACTTTCTGTCAAATTTTGAGTAATTTCCGTTGACCGAAAGTACTAATTTACACTATTTCCGATTTCTCAAAAAGCGCATGTGAATTTATAAAGTACTAATAATATTGCACACTATTATGCACATTTTGTTTCGCCGTTCGCAATTCTTTTTTCTACTAGATTTTATTCTATTTTTAAAAGTTTAAGTAAACAAAAATCATGTCTATATTCCGAGTTGCCATCCCACGTAGTGTTATATTAGAATATTCGAGAAAGTTTAGGGGAGATCACTCCCGGTTTATTAAAAATAGAACACTACTATTCTACCAATGCTCTGGTATGTTAATACTAGGCATGCTGCCCAGCTTCGCTTAGGCTTTCGAAAACATTGAGAATTTGAATGCTTAATTAATTCGCCCGAAGGTCGGTCTACGACCTCAAGAGTTATGAAGAGGTTCCTCCGTGGACATTTTTTTTCGATTTATAGCTCATATAAGGTACCGGTCAGTCGAGGTCAGTTTTGACCCCCACATCGTAGACTTTTCGGCCAACCGGCCCCCGTGTTCTGTCGCACCAAGGCAAGATCATGCCAAATTTGAAGCGCCTGCGGCGCCGGGAAGTGCCCTATCGGACACCCGACAATCTAGATCTAGATCTAGATTCCTAAAAGAATTTTTTTTTTAAATTTAGCCCGAGCATAATAAAAAAGAATACATTAACCAAGTTGACTTGCTGTGTCTCGAACCCGCACCACCTGCGTGGTTTAATGTACACTAACATCTCCGCTATTTAGGCACCTTATAAAATACGGAGAATGAAACACGTATTTTAAAATCTTAACTTACGCGAATATGCCTATTCTTTCAAATTAATTTTTTATCCCAAATTAGCCAGTTCCAAACAAAGATTTTGTATAAAATAAATAAGTCTTGAAATAGTTTAGTCCTAATATAGACATTTATTTTTGGAATTGATTTTAGAGAAGTTAGAGTCTAAATCTAGATCTTAGCGTCTACGTCTAGATCTAGTTATTGCGTAGATTTAGATTTAGATTTAGTCTAGATCTAGAATCTCTAGATCTAGAATCCAAATACATAAAATAAATTTTATGAGTTTAGGCCGGAAAAATTGTATTGTATACATTTCATAGTGTACGTAGATCTAAATCAAATTTGAATGAAATAGTTCATTTCTTTTCATTCTAAACACGGCAGATGACGTCATTAGTTAATGTATAAGCAATAGTGACGTCACAGTTTTATGCGTTCTTTTTCACATATATTAATGCTTTTCCGGTTGCATAAATAATACTGTTTCTCTACATTCGAATACGCCTTTAATTTTTATTTTTCTTCTTTAACTAAAATTGTGGTTATACATTTAAAACATCTAACATATTATTATCAACAAAAGTCCGTAAAAAGTTCTCGATATATCGCTGCCGATTCTGACGTGATGTCCGGCGAAAATTTTTTGCGGACAGAGAAAGAGAGAGAGAGAGAGAAGAGCGCACATGGCCTTTTATAAATTAGGATGTTTACAAGACCTTATGTTATCCTATATATGTAAAAGAAATAAACCTATTTTATAATCGCACATCTGTATGACGTTCTTTATTTTTTTTCGTTTCCTGTTTTTGCCCAAGATATATGGCGCAGATGAAGTAGAGCTCATCGGATTCAATGACCTCGGTAAGGGGATAATGTGGTCAGCATTATACCCAACCGACTTTCTTTCCATAACGTAACGTTAGGGAAACATCAAAACTGGGTGGACTCAGGAAAGTTCTACTTCTTTGAACCCAGATTTCGGGTAAGTGGCCTAGCTCTCTACCGCTGGACCACGACGCCATCTTCGTAAATCGCTGATATTAAAACTGAGATTTATACTTATAAAGTAAACCACGGAGATCAGCTTCTTATACCTACTTTTAAATATACATATTTCTTAATTCGAATATATTTCCTCCGGGGCTAAATATCGTTTTTTTTTTACCCCAGATCCTATTTGCCTGCAGCCCAGTCATAGAGGTAAATGTGAAGGTATGTACAAACATTACTACTATAACAACTCATTGAAAAGGTGTACACAGTTCTATTACGGAGGCTGTGGTGGCAATGATAATAACTTTTCGTCCAAAGCGGACTGCGAACAGTTCTGCATAATCTGAACAGTTCACGGTCAGACCCTGCATTAAAAGTCCGACTGGTCAGCTTGTTGACAAATAAATTAATTTGAGAAAAAAATAATCATGTGTACATTTTTCAGATTTTTTAACTCTACTTAAATATAAGAGTCTACCCGACCCAACCTTACTATGCCCTTCTCTATCATATTCTGACTTTCTATGCCGTGGGTCAGCTTATCTTGTAGAGACGGTCAGATTATCTTGTAGAGATGGCCAGCTTATCTTGTAGAGATGGCCAGCTTATCTTGTAGAGACGGCCAGCTTATCTTGTAGAGATGGTCAGATTATCTTGTAGAGATGGTCAGATTATCTTGTAGAGATGGTCAGCTTATCTGGTAGAGACGGTCAGCTTATCTGGTAGAGACGGTCAGCTTATCTTCAAGAGATGACCATTTTATGTTGTAGAGATGGCCAACTTTTTTTTGTAAAGACGGTCGGATTATCTTGTAGAAATCGGCAGCTTATCTTGTAGAGCAGGGGTCTCCAAACTACGGCCCGCGGGCCAGATGCGGCCCGCGAGGTCCTCTCATCCGGCCCCCGGAGATCTTTTTGTCCACGGAAAAAAAATTGCTTGTTGGAGGTGGCTGAAAAATTGAAAATGTAGCATTGGGTGCAAATACCATTCAAGTAAATGTGGCCAGTTGCCCAGTAAATGACATCCTTAAAGAAAAAGTAAAATAAGGACGAGTGGGTTTTTATAAGTATTTGCCCAAAGAAGACTTTCCTAATATTAAAACTTTTGCATCAAAGTACGTTTCAAATTTTGGAACAACACACAAACTTTATCAAGAATGAAGTAGGCCTACGACAAGAACAATTTCAGATCGAAATTGGACCTCTATCGTGTTGTCGGTCCCCGACAGTGTTTCTTTCAGACATTTTTCTCTGGTGGGGGCACTTGAAATGTGTATGTATGTATATATATATATATATATATATATATATATATATATATATATATATATATATATATATATATATATATATATATATATATACTCCGTTGGGGGTGCATTCTTCGGGGGGGGGGGCTCTGCCACCCCGCAGGGATGCCTGGAAGAAACTGGCCCCCGAACTTATAATAGATTGTTAATGCGGCCCTTGGGCTGAAAAGTTTGGAGACCCCTGTTGTAGAGAATGCCAAATTATCTTATAGAAATGGCCAGTTTGGTTGTTTTTATGGGTGGGGGGGGGGGGGGTAATGCCAAGGGAGCCGTGGAGGCGCACGGCGGTGAAGCAGCTGGCAGAGGCAGGACTGTCATTAGGGAGTGCCAGGTAAACGACCGGAGACCAACATCAGTGGTGGGAACTTTAAGTGAGGGCCTCATGTGGTCTAGCGAGTCCACCCAACTCTGATGGGTACCTAACTCACGTCAGGGAAAGTAAAGGCGGCTGGGCATAGTGCTGACCACACTATCTCTTCACATGCCGAGGTCACAGAAACAAGTGAACTCTACTTCACTTGCCCCATAGACCGTCAGGTTTGAAAGGGAAACCTTTTTTTTACTCGTGTGTCTTGGGCACACAGAGGAAACGATGATAATGGCCAGCTTATAGCTTAAAATATGGCCTAACTATATTACAGGGCAGAGATAGCAAACCGCTTGCTAAACCCTTGATTGGTGAGCTCACAGTTAGTGCGCATGTGATGTTACATCCTAACTTGTGTTAGTTAATGCAATATCTTCTGACATGTAATATTGGCCTAGCGGTAGAGAGCTAGACTGCCAACCCAAAAGTCTCGAGTTCAAATCCGGTAGAGCATCGCTGAGTCCACGCAGCTCTGATGGGTACCTCACTCACGTTAAGGGAACAAAGGAGGCTGGGCATAGTGCTGACAAAATTATTCATTGAAACCGATGAACTCTACTTCGTCTGTCCCTGTGTGTCTTAGGCATTTGTGTCTTGTTGCATTGTCCTTATAAAATCGTGTGCTAAACACATCGCAAGCCATCTTTATGTCCAACTCCACGAGTTTGACAAGAGAGAATAACGTAAATAGTATTGTTGATGTGGTAGATAATCTGATGAATCTATTAGGTCTAGCTTAACCACATACAGGTGGTCAAGTCAGACATACAGGTGGTCAACTCAGACATAGGCCTACTGGTGGTCAAGTCAGACATACAGGTAGTCAAGTCATACATACAGGTGGTCAAGTCATACATACAGGTGGTCAAGTCATACATACAGGTGGTCAAGTCATACATACAGGTGGTCAAGTCATACATACAGGTGGTCAAGTCAGACATACAGGTGGTCAAGTCATACATACAGGTGGTCAAGTCATACATACAGGTGGTCAAGTCAGACATACAGATGGTCAAGTCAGACGTACAGGTGGTCAAGCAGACATACAGGTATTCAAGTCAGACATACAGGTAGTCAAGTTACATACAGGTGGTCAAGTCAGACATACAGGAAATGTCAAACATACTAAAGGTCATTCTAAAAATACAAGTCATCATGCCAATGTGATGATTACAAAAGCTAAGAAAGATAAAACACGCATAAAACAAATCATTGAATGTAAAACAAACAATTTAATATATCATTTTTTAACTTTATTAATTTCGAAACCTGTTTCAGAATTTAAATGAAATATAGAAATTAACAATTTGTTTTGTATTCACAATTGATTAGCCTTCAATAAATACATATGTTTTAACATTTTAGAATTTTTTTAAAAAAAATCTGCGTATATCGTATAAGACAAATGTCTGTTTCTCATTCCTGTGGTCTGGTATTACATGATCCATGGGTCATTGGGACGGGACGGCAGGAATTTTTCTTCTTCGTTTCCGCTGTTGATGCGGATGGTGGAACGAATCCAGTTCAAGTAGGCTTGCACTTTGGTGAAGTAGCCCCATGCAGGCGCTGTACAGTTCGGAGCTCCAAACGAAGTCACGCCAAACACCTGGTACACACCTGTACAAAGTAGAATGTAGAAAAATATTCAGAAACATGCAGCTAATTGATTATGTTTTAGTTAGGGAGGTCAGCGTGAACGAGTGAACGAAGAAGAAGAAGATTGTTTTCTCGTAGGGTAAATTTGTTTTTTTTTTTGTTTTTTTTTCAAATATCAAGTTTAAACGTTATTACGCTTAAATTGAACCGTGTTTAGGGGTCGGCGTGGTCGAGTCGGTAAAGCTCATGGTTGCTAAACCGAAAAGTCACGAGTTCGAACCCTCGGGTAGATGAGGCTCGTTAGCTGGGGACAGCCACTCTTCTAGGAGAGACAACTCCAAAATTAAACGACTGCTGCATTGTAGTTTGTTCTTGGTTGGACAAAGGCTATGGAAGCAAATCCAAAATAATAATCATTAAAAAAGTTTTAAAAAACCCACGTTTTCTGATTGAACTAAAAAGTAGAAAATAAATGCTATAGGCCCTACATCACAATAATGCAAGCGATCACTCTACTATAAGCGATCAAAAACGTGGGGCGCCGAAGTAGAAGTAATATTACTATTGATTAGATAATACTATTGACTTTTATTAGGGAGCTTGTAGAGAGTCAACAGTATTAGAAACTGTAAGAAAATCACGGCGCCCCACGTTTTTGCTCGCTTATAGTAGAGTGATCGCTTGCATTATTGTGATGTAGGGCCTATAGCATTTATTTTCTACTTTTTAGTTCAATCAGAAAACGTGGGTTTTTTAAAACTTTTTTAATGATTATTATTTTCTACTTTTTAGTCTTTGTCTGTTTGTTTGCATTAAAATCTTGCTATCGATTTTATCTTTTCACTTTTTTTGGGTAAACGAAGACAACTCGTAAAAAGACAACTCGTAAAAAGACAACTCGTAAAAAGACAACTCGTAAAAAGACAACTCGTAAAAAGACAACTCGTAAAAAACACGTTGTTTGAATACGTTACTGACTAGAACACATAGATTTGAACCCGTGTCGAGTGGGATAGCAATCGTGTGCCCAACCACTCGACCATATCGTCTCCCCCAAACTGGCCTACCTCCTGTAAGTTTAAACTCGGTTCAAGCTAAATTCTCTGCCCCTAAGCCTGTGGCGACATGTGATCGTTCGCTTCACTGCGCGCGAGGTACGCGTCGCTGGTTTTTTTTGTAATGGCTAGCAGAGGAGAATTATATATATAGATTATATAGCGGTCTAAAATGCTCAATAAAATGTTTCCATTGATCAATTTAGTAATAATAACAATTGAATATTCAATGGTCATCCAAAAGAAAGCTTCCCTGAAAATTTCAGCGCGCTAGCTAACTGGGAAGTGCCAGAAATTTCGATCGCAAGATTGGATTGGAAAGACAAACAAATAAATAAATAAACACACAGAGAAAGCAAGTTAAAGAAAACGTGGGAAAAAGAAAAGCAGGCTGAAATCGGAGTCAATGGCCTCAATGGCGCAAAACCAGTTGACACGTAACGCTTAATTGTGTTGGAGGCGTGGTCGAGTCGGCAAAAAGCTCATGGTTGATACATTCGAACAGTCTCGAGTTCAAACCCACTAGCAGATAAATCTCGATCCCCTTCAACACTAATAATTAAGAACGAAGAAAGAAGAAGAACCGTGTTTTATATCTATAAATTAATTTATTGTCCAAATGCATATTTCAGTTGAGAGTGGAAAAATAAAGCGAGAGTGATCTCCCTTAAACTTTCTTGAATATACTTATATGACACTAAGGGGGATGGGAACTCGGTTTATAGACATGATTTTTAATTAATTTTTAATTATCTAAACTTTTTAAAATAGAATAGAATCTTGTAGAAAAAAAAAGAATTGCGAACCAAATGAACAGCTAACAATGTGTGTATAATAGTACGCAATATTAACACTTTATAATTTTTTTTTTTGAGAAATCGGAAGTAGCGTAAAGTACTACTTCCGGTCAACGGAAATTACTCTAAATTTGAGAGTAGATATCTTACTTATATGTAAAATGCTGTTTATGTATCTGAAACAGTAGTGAAGTTATAGGATTTTAAAAAAAATTAGAATAAGTTCTACTTCCGGTTGTCGTTGAAAAGTTAATACAAAACTACAAATTTAATATAATGCGTATATATGAAATTTCATCATCCTACATGTAACGGTACTCAAGTTATCGTGTTTACAGACATACACACACACACACATACATACACACACACACACAGAGATACGAACAAAATTGCAAATACGAAGTTTTATCCGACTCAGGGAGGTGTAAAATGTCGAGATTTGAGAAAATCTCGATTTCGATTTTTTTGTACGATTACAATACTTCCTCTATACTTGGTATACGAGAAAGTTTAGTGGAGATCACTCCCGGTTTATTTTGTTCGCTTACAATACTCCCACTATACTTGGTATACAAAAAAGTTTAGGGGAGATCACTCCCGGTTTATTGTGTACGCTTACAATACTTCCTCTATACTTGATATACGAGAAAGTAAGAAAGTGTAACTCACCGTCGAAGTTGGCAACCAAAGGCCCACCACTGTCACCCCTGCAAGTGTTTGTCTTGCCTCCAGGGGAGCATAACATGGTGTCCGGGTCGTAATTTTTGGAAGGGCAATTCATCCTGTTCTCACTCAGAGTAACCTGAGTTCCTTGCAAGACGCGCGGTGTTGTTTCTGTGGACGGAAGATCAATATAGCTTGATTGTATTTATAATTTTCAATTTTTAAAAATTTCAAACTTTTATTTAACTTTTATTTAAATTGCTCCCTCTGTCTGTCTGTCTGACGTGCTTTAAGCTTCGTCATAGATTGAAACTGCCGAGCAAAATTTCGACTACTCCTAACCGACCAATTGATCTGAAACTTGGCACGTGGGTTGCAACCCAATGACATTGACAATGTAATCTGATATCAATTTTCACTTAATTGGATGCCTAATTAATGTTAAAGAGTTTATTAAAATTTCCTAAATAAAGTACAAATTACCGCGCTATTATACGAACTTCTTTTTCTTGTTTGTTTCGTGCGTAATTGTTTTTTAGTCATGAAACTCTTTTGTATTAAAAGTTTTAAAGTACTGACAAAAATGCATTTAAAAAAAGTTTTAATAACCCGCCTTTATGTAATAATGCACTAACAAAAGAGAAAATAATTTATTTTGTTTAAATATATAACAGTGAACTACAATTTAAATAACTAATAATAAAATAACAATTTTAAGCAGTATCCTTCTCCATAATCCTTACCAGTGGCGTAGGCAGGGGGGGTGGGGGGGGGGGGGGGTCATAACCCCCCCATAGACCCCTTGGTATATATAAAAAGTATGAGGGGGTGCAAATCGAAAGTTTGAGGGGGGGTGCAAATCGAAAGTTTGTCCCCGGGTAAAAATTGGAACCCCCACCCCCTTGAGACGATCCTGGCTACGCCACTGATCCTAACCCTAGCTTTAAATTGGAAACATACCAGTTGGAGATGTATAGCCCCATCCAGAGGCTATATACTTCTGATGAGGCTCGGGTTTCGCGTCAGAATCTGGCAGGCACGCCGGCTGGATGTAGTCATTGAACTGGAACCCACGGCCGTACTTCGGCTTGATTTTGATCAGAGCGATGTCGTTGATTATCTTAACTACATTACCATCAGCTAAAGGAATAAAATAAAGGTATTACTTCTATCTTTTGTTGATAGCAGATTGATCTAACCTAAACATAAATCACATTATGTATTTCAGAAAATTTGTTTTAAATTAATTTTTTTTTAAATTATTCTCTGAAGCAAAATCCAATCTCTAGTACATGAAGTAAGTTACCAATGGCAACAGCAAAATCCTCAACTGGTCTCAAGCTAATAGTACCATCTATAATACCAAGCACATCTACCATATAATACCAACAGGACTTGGACGTATGTACTACGTCGCTGAGTCCACTCAGCTTTGATGGGTACCTGACTCTCGTTAAGGAAAGTAAAAACAACTTCCCTTCATGTGCCGTGGTCGAGGAACGGATGAACTCAACTGTCCATTGTTCTGTGAATCTACTGGAATTTTACTTAGATCTACATTGGTGGAGAACGTCTTCTTTTTCCGTGACCGTTCATGAAATCGACTCCTTGTGGTCATTCGATTACAAAATAGTTCACATTGTAAGAATAAGGCTGGTAAGTAGGTCACCAACCAATTCTAGGGCTCATGCAGGTTTTAGTGAGCCGTAGAACTGGTTGGTGACCTACTTACCAGCCCTATTGCCACCATTTGTAAGCCGCTAAAGAAAGTTAAATAGAAGGTTTTTATAGTTACATATATTTAGGAAGTAGTCTTTGTGTTTGATGAACTTCTCTACTTTAAACTTTTCATCTTCATCTTCGTCTTTCAATTGGTCAATGTCTCCAACAACTACTTTATAATTGGCGTATTTGCTGAAATTTTTGAATATTATATATATATATATATATATAGTTTGTGTGTCGGCTCGTAACACGGTAACTAATTGTGGTCAGGAGTATATAATTGTTTAGGGGTCGTCCATAAATGACGTCACACTCGTAAGGGGGAGGGGGTCCGTAACTTTGTGAAGGTGTGTGATGATGGGGAGGGGGGGGGGGGGGTTCAGATGGTGCGACGTCACACTTTTGCATCATAAAAAAGCAATGTTAGAAAATGAATTTTCGAAGTTATTTCGTGTTTTTGAAAATTGTTTGAATAAAATGTAATAGGAATCGATTAAAATACTATATTTTGACAGAGTTCGGACAAGATTTTGGAAAAATATAGATGTTTTAAAAAAATTCAACTGCAATTTTGAGGGGAGTTGTAGGCTGAGGTGTGATGTCATTTTAGGGGGGGGGTTCTGGCTTTTTGTGACGATGTGTGACGGAGGGGAGGGGGGAGGTAAAAATCGTCCAAAAAAGCGCGACGGCATTTATGGATGACCCCTTAATACAGAATACATTGACGTATAACATTCCTATGAATTAGCTGTACATAAAGATTAATTAAGCCTGAAAAGACTGTAATTAGAATTTAAATCTAAGTAGGTTCGGCCACTTTCCGCGTGCTTTTATATTTGTCTTAACACTACAAAGAATATTTAGTTCCGATTGATTCATAGCGAGTTAAAACCAAACTTACTTGTAACAGTGGGCAGCAGTCAGTACCCAGTATTCACTTAAAATCGTTCCTCCGCAAAATTGTTCTTCGTTCAGCATCAGGTTGGCCTGCCATGGAATCGAACCGTGATCAGCGTCGTGGCCTCCAAAAACTTTTGGAAGTATGCCCTGGGAATCCCAGTCACTAAGGTAGTCTTCCATAGGTCGGGTCCCACAGGTGTACGATTCATCTGAAATGTGGTCACGGCTGTTTTAGAAGTCCGAGGATTGTATAACGATTTTTATGCAATTTTGTTTGTAATGCTATTTGTGTTATTACACGCTTTTATTTAACTTGCTCCCTCTGTCTGTCAAGATTGATGATGTTTAGTATGATCAGGGGCGTAGCGAGGGGGGGGGGGGGCGGGGGGTGCGGAATGCACCGGTTACACCATTTAGGGGGGTGACACCAAGGCAAAAAAGAGCAAAATATTAAAAGAAAAATGATAAATCCACTTTTAAAAAGTGGTTAATTAGAGAGGTAAAAAGTCTTTTAGAGCCAATTTGATAAATCCCGACAAGAGTTGAGGGGGGGGGGGGTAGAGTGATACCATGGCGTAAACCTGCGAATGATAGAGAAAACATGCTACATCGAGCTGTGTTTACAACCGACTATAGATACGCCACTGAGTATGATGACGGGAGAGCTGCGTTACAATATTGGGTTGTAGAATGACGAAAAAAAAAACAACAAAAGAACAATTTAGCTGTTGTAGTTTTCTTTTTTCATCATTCTTTTTTGTATTGAAATCATCATTTTATGTTGTAATGAAATCATTCGTCACCAAAGTTTGTAACTATATTATGTAAACTGTTTTGTGGACTGATGAAGAGAAATTCTCACTGCTTCAAAGATTCACTGCTGGAGAATGTCGACTATACCCTCAAAATATATTTTGTACTGTTAGTTACACGGAGCGACCAAAAGGTTTAGCAGTATAGAACCTACCTTCATTGGGTGGGCTAAAGCGTTTTATCTGAAAATAAAAATAAAAACATATCAAAATAAAACATGATCGAATTGTTTCAACACCCGATGTAGCTGACGGCTGATATAAATAAAGATCGTATAGATATTTGAGAAAGAAAATCAATGTAAAGTTTATCGGCGTGGTCGAGTCGGTAAAGCTAATGGTTGCTAAACCGAAAAGTCTCGAGTTCGAACCCTCGGGCAGATGAGGCTCGTTAGTTGGGGACAGCCACTCTTCTAGGAGAGACAACTCCAAAATCAAACAACTGCTGCCTTGTATTTTATTCTTGGTTGGATAAAGGCTATGGAAGCTAATCCAAAAAGAAAATCATGCTGAAATCGGAGTCAATGGCCTCAATGGCGCATAACCAGTTGACACCTATCCTTAATTGTGATGGAGGCGTGGTCGAGTCGGCAAAATGTTCATGGTTGATAAATTCGAAAAAGTCTTGAGTTCAAACCCTCTAGCAGACAAGGCTCGATCCCTTCCAACACTAAAAATTAAGAACGAAGAAGAAAGAAAAGATCGTATGAAATTATTTCACTCAAGTAAAGTTGTCGTATGGAAGATTTTATGTCATGTAAAATTATCAAATCAAAAGATGAAATGCCAAAAGTTTCAAGGTTAAACATAGGTGTGATATCAAAGTCTTTAATTAAGGTAAATTTATAATATCAAACCATTTATGGCACGGAAAGCTATCTATCAAACCGTTTATGGCAGGTAATTTTATCTATCAAACTATTATTGTCAAGGGGGGTAAATTGATTCAGCTCTGATGGGTTCCTAACTCAAGGGCCGGCGCTAACTATTTGGCTAACTAGGCGGTCGCCTAGTGCGCCATTCCCAGGGGGTGGGGGCGTAAAATGTTTAATCGCTATTATCAAAAATGACCTAATAATTAATAACTTTTATAAAGGAGTAGCGATCTATTTCGGCACCCAGGACGAACTATCAATTTTGCAATCCCACCCCAAAACTAGGTCTATATAGGCCTATATTTATTCGCGATGGTGAAAATGCAACCCCACATCACTAATTTGGAAAGGTCGGGGCGCTTTTTACCAGTCACTTTGCCTTTTTAATTTGGTGTCACATAATTGATGTAGAAAACGATTAAATAAGTTCGTTATTTAAATTTCAAACGGTTATTTAATTTTAATAGGGCTTGTAAGTCTGGTTTTCTCTGACTTTGAATTAGAAATCTGTCCTGGTTTACAGATTTTTGTAATGACGGGGTGTTCAAAGTATTGTACTTGTTCGGTAAGTTTTGATGAATCGTTTAGATTTGGGAGTAAAGGCGGAAGGCTGTTGCTGATATGGTTTCGTAGGTATAAAGTATCGAAGTGTTAAAGTGTTATAATTTTTATTCGGCTGTTTTGTAGTGAAGGTCTAGTGGAATCTGATTGGTAATAGAGAGAGAAATGAGAATGCAGGTAATAAAGTATCGTAGTTCTGGAGTTCGGGAGTATTGATTCTTGTGGTATTAAGGTATCGAATTATATTGACTGTTAAAGTGTAGTGGTAAGTCCAATGAAATCCTTGTTGATTGGGAGTACTGTTTGTAGAGCTTAGTGAAGTTAAGCGAGGTGGTGTCGTAGTTCTGGAGGATCGATTCTAGTTATGTTTATGTATCGAAGTTTGATATGTGTTGTAAATGTAGTAGAGTATATCGAGTAGTCGAGTTTATCGTAAGTTAGATTATTTTAATTCAGTACGGCACACTACAAAGAAAGGTAGGCGTTCTCTAGTTGAAAAATCTTTAGTTTTTTTTAGCAATCTATATTACCGCTCTTAAAGTATTAATATATAATATTAAATAGGATGGAATTTATAACAAATCGTAAACTTTGTTTAGTCAAATTATAATTTCTTTATATTTAATCAATAATTCCAGCAATGCCTAAAACAGTTACCCGTGTTTGATTTTTTGATAGCGTCCCTTTAAAAGGGGATCCAAAATTTTACATATAACTGTAAATTACAAACACGATAAAAAGTATGTAATCGAACTTGGATAGGTGTATTTATAATAAAGCTAACATTTTCAGACTTTCAAACAAAACCTAAATTTAAGTATTCAATTTGTAGAATATATTGTTTTCACAAGGTTACATAGATAATATAAAAGATTTATTATAATTATTACGTAATGAAATTTAAAGTGTTTTATTATGTTTTTCAAGCATGTCTTAGTTACACTTGGTTATTTTAGCGATTCTTGTTGTAACGTTAACCTATCTATCAGCTAAATAGAAGGAGAACGTCCCCGGATTCTTTTTTCGGGGTCATATGCAAATGCCTTACGGCCTAAGTGGATGAACACTTAACACAACGACCCACTAGGGCTCGAATTTAATGTCTAGGGAAGCTAGTGGTACTATTGTAATTAACACTCATCCAATCTACATACGACCTTTTAATCAGCGAACTCAGTTGTGGCAGAACACAAAGATGAACTAGATAAAATATTTAATGTATAAAATATCAAAAACCCAACTTACAAAATGCAGGAAAAATCTCTATCACAGATTTCTACACTGTCTAAAGAACAGCTACAGGCCACACAACACTGCTGTAGCTTCAAGACTTACTTAGCGACAAGTAATATTAAACTAGAAGACTAAATCAACTGAAGAAAGCAAGGCACACACAGGTCTTAAGTACTCTCACGTTCAAATGGTCAGAGTCTATAGCCGGACAATATGGACGGCTGCCTGAACGAGGTAAAACTGCCCCGTAGACTGCCAGGTCAAGAAAAACTGCCTCGTGTTGCGAGTGTGCAGTGCAATTAAAGACTTCTGTGACAGGGGAGGTTATCCTCAACTCATGTCGCCATTGGTTGGGATAATCATCTGATCAGAATCATTCAATCAGATTTTAATGGAAAATTTCTATGTCTCAAACACCTTAATAAGTCAGTGGAAAAACCCCAGGTGTTACACCATCATTCCATATAAGGAATTATACAATATCAAAATAAAAATGACTCGACCTAAGTAGGTCACATCCCCTCCCTTTTTGGAAGTGACAGATAGGTTCCACAAAAACATACATAAGGAACCAATCTGGCAATGAAATAACAAAAATGTTTTACAAATGTAGGCAATCAAAATCATAATACCAGATGAAAATATCCCTGAACATAAAAGGGAAGTAACTCCAACTTTTACAATTGGTGAAAGGGGAGTAACCCTTCAAAAGGTAATTATACATCAAAATCCCTCAAAAAGGGGAATTACAATATTTCCATGTGGATATTAAAAGTGGTAAACCCGCCAGGGTAAGACCTTTATTTCAATGACTAGCTACAATATCAATTGAGTCATATGAGACATATTATTATAAAAGATTACATATAATCAAAAACTACCTTTAATTAAGGTTCACCTGAAAATAAACAAAATATTCAACAGGATTGGAATTTTGAAAAATTCTAACTCACACCACTCATTTTCATATGAGTGACACTCAAACAAAACCCGTTTATGGTCCTAATGAACCACAAAGCATGTCACATGATCAATGTGTGTAACAAGATTTTACATCCTTGACAAACAATCAGCCACAACATTATCACTACCCTTAATGTGTGAAATTTCCAGATTAAAATTTTGGAAATACAAGCACCATCTCAATATTCTTTGATTTGTCTGTCCTAACTTAGAGGTAAATTTCAGGGGATCATGGTCAGAAAACACTCTGACTGGATTGGTTGAAGAAGAGACATAGACTTCAAAATGTTGTAATGACAAAACCAAAGCTAAAGCCTCTTTTTCAATAGTAGAATAATTCTTTTGGTTTTCATTTAACTTCCTGGAAAAAAAGGCAATGGGATGGTCAATCCCCATGTTGTCTTCTTGAAATAGGACTGAGCCAATGGCTAAGTTGCTAGCATCAATGGCAAGTTTAAAGGGCTTGCTGAAATTTGGTGCAGCCATAACAGGAGCATTAGATAGAAATGACTTAATGGTTAAAAAAGCTTCTTGACATTTACCTGACCATTCAAACTCAACACCCTTTTTCAATAATGCAGTAAGAGGTTCAGCAATAGCTGAAAAGTTTTGACAGAACCGTCTATAGTAACCAGCCATCCCAAGGAACTTTTTGATCTCTTTACAATTTTTGGGAGGTGGTAACCTTACAATAGCATCTACTTTAGCTTCAATGGGCCGAACTTGGTTCGTTCCCACTTGATAACCCAAATAGGTAATTGAAGCTT